GTGTGTGTGTGTGTGTGTGTGTGTGTATGTAAAAATAAATTTGCATATCATAACTTTAATTAGAATAATATTACGCAAAAGAAATCATTTTTTAGTATTGATAACACTATTCTCTAAATAAGATAATTTATTTATTAAAAATTTTTACATATATATGTATATTTTAATTTTATGTTACAGCATTAAAAAGCTATAACATATAAAAAGTGATTTAAGAATTTTTAAAAAATATTATTGATTAAGTGTTTCCACTATTTTGTTAATTACAATTTATTATTAATCATTTTAATTTTCAATTTTATGTGAATAGAGTCTTTCTAAGGGTGAAACAGGAGTTGTTCCACTTTTATTGAAATTCTTTTTATTCATATTCTTAGTCCTGCTTATACTTTATGCTCATTGTCTTGTCGGCGAGAACCTTTTGACAGAGGTAATGTTTTATGGAAATATAAAATGAAAATTAAAAAAGAGCTATATATAATATGCATATACATAATAAAATTTGTTTAATATCTATGTACAATTTTTTATTGTTTTTTCATAATGTAATAATTTTTTCACAGAGTGCTAAAGTGGGTGAAGCGTTTTACAATTGCCGTTGGTATGATATGTCAAAGAATAATGCACGAATGTTAGTACTATGCATGGTAAGATCGCAGAAACCGCTCTGCCTGATAGCTGGAAAATTTACCATGTTTTGCCTCAGCACTTTAACTGACGTAAGCTGATGATTTATGCATTTACAAAATTTTTTTAATAAAAAGGCCTCGCTTAACTTTGGTCATTTGAAATATCATCGCTTAATATAAGAACACAAAAACATGGTTTAAAAGTAAATTATTTCAACAGGTTTTGAAAACATCCATGGGATATTTATCAGTATTACGTTCTCTCTTATAACATCATTGAAGCAATAATTTTTGGAAGCGTGTGCAAAGGTAATTTATAAATTGAACATGCTCAAATAGAAATAAATGTATAATTTATAATAAAGAGTGAGAAGAGAGAAAGAGGCATTATTGTTATCGAAAACTATAAATTGTTTTTAATATTTTTCTATTTTATGTAATGTTTTTATTTTTAATATTGTTTTTTATATAAAAGATATATTCATTTTAAAACAAATTTTATACAAAAATAAGTTTGTTACTTAAAATATCGTTTGCTGTTATATGTAAAACATTTTTTACACAAATTGCACAATTTATATATATATGTAGTATATATATATATATCTACTTCAATTGACTTATATATATTATAACTTTTAAAAAGGTCGCTCAATTCGATATCATCTTACATAATCTAAAATCATCTCTGATATAGTTTTCCTACTATTATTACTGTTACGTATCTTAGCTAAACGCGTTCAGAGGTTATCACACAAGATGATTTGCAATCAAGAGACTTTATTAATGAGTCGATCATAATTATCAAGTTATTTAAAGTAAAACAATTAGAAAACATTAATAATTGGTTAGGTGAAACTCGAAAACAATCATAGAAAAATAGTAAAATTGCAAAGATTTTCTTGTTTATCACAATGTGAATATTCTGCTGCACCGTTCCACTCTTACCTTTAAATACTGCAAATGCACTTGTCGACGAGATGTCTACTGACGTAATCCATGAAGAGGTGATCGTTTAGCATGTAAGTATCG